TAGAAATCTTATCAACCTCTAGTGCTCAACCTGTCTTGGGATCAGGTGTCCCTCCTTCCTAACCTGTGACATGATAAAGATACATGGAGGCTGGCGTTTAACTTCTCCCTGAAGCTAGGAAACAGGGTTAGTGGAGTTTGGGCCAAACTGTGTGCACTCATACATGTTTGCCTTTATACTTTATCCCATGTTTGCCCTTATACTTTGGCCCATGTTTGTCCGATTTCCTGCCTGCTTTGGGGTCTCGGCATCTCTCTGCTTAGTCTCTAAGCTTGGTCCTTGCACATATGTTTGTTAGTCTGCAGAATGTTGTGAGCTGAGCTGAAATAGACAGAAGTTGGGTTTCTTCCTGCTCTCAATGGAAATTTTTGTTCTGCCATCCTAGGAAATGTCTTTAGGCCTCCAATTTTCACACCCAAAATATCTTTATAATTTGAGTGGTTTTCTGGGAAGTAAGAATGACTGTAAAAAGATCTGTATGTTCTAAAATATGAAGAGTGGACAATATTGACTTAGAACGCCAAGTGCTTCTTATGTGCGTTTTCTCCTTCCGTTTTCATCTTTCCTGATAACTTTGTTGTGCTTTTCAGATGAAAGCAACCAAAAGCATAAAGGAATAATGACAAATCTTTGTGATAGAAGTGGAATTAAAACCCAGATCCTTATATTTATAAAAAAAAACCCAGATCCTTAATTCTCTTCCCATCATCTGACTCTGTTTATATTTGTACCAGGGGCGAATTTGGAAACTTGTATTTTGGAAATGCTGTTCTGTCTACTTTTACTGTTATTATTGTTGCCTCCTATCACTATTCAGCCAAAGCATACTCTGATTGAACTCTCCTCTGGCCCAGGGGAAGGGCTGAATCTTGCCTTCATTGTGCCATTTAGCCATTTAGTGCTCACAATAGCCAGGTGATGGTATTTAACTGGTAAGGATGCTATGCTCAGCTATGCTCACTGAGGTTTTTTTTTTAGCTTAAAGCATTTAATAATATCTAAACAAATCAATCTGTTAATATTAGTAGTCACAAAATATGCTTAATATAGAAACCCACATTTATGTTTTAAGAAATTGTAAATTGCATTTCATCTCAAAACATAAATTAACCTGCTTAAGAATCAGCAGCAGTCAAAATCATGGCGAATTTTAAACAACTCCAGAGTAAAATAACAATAAGTACTTTATACTGCTTTGTATCTTTAAAAAAAGTTTACAACTTATCATGAAAATAGTTTGAGACAACCACTCTTATTCTTTAACAGATGTTCAACATTATGAGCAACATTCTTAAAACTTTGTTTCATAGATTTTTCACATATTCAAATACTGTGGTCCCCTTTCCTTTGATGGGATTTAGTCAAGTTAGAGGAAAACAAAAAAGCATGGTAGACAAGTTAATACATTTCCACCAAATCGGAAGTAATACAAAAATTTAAAGATTCTACAGAACTATACATCGTACCTAATGCGTCATTAAAAATAGAAGACAATATTTTCTTCAGCAAATAAAACAGCACACTGGTATGCTGTCAATGTATACCTTTTAATAGGTACTGTCATTCATAAATCATTTACAACTTCTACTTTAATGAAGAGAACTAGAATTTAATTTTCTGCAAAACTGGAAAAAAGCAATACAAAATCTGTGAAAGTCAGTGTTTTATATTATATAAAAGCCAGTTTTTCTCTTCCAACAGCAGATCCTGGATGAAGCGGTAATGTGGAGACATTACAGTAACTCTTGAGGATGTTTCAAGGCTGGAGGTAAGTTCACAGGTCTCGACTCTTCATCAAGGAGCACTAGATCCTCCACCTCACTGCCTCTGTACTTCCTTTTGCATATCTTTACCACCACCTTCTTCTTGAGAAACAATTTCAGTGCTTCTCTCGATGCAACTGCCTTTACATTCTCTTTGCTCTTTCCACAGCCAGTGCCCAAATACACTGACTTACACCTCAACTCACAAACAATACTTTCTTGAGAGCTCTTATTTTGAGGCAGATCTGCCAGTTCTTTCAATGGGACAAAAAACACATCCAGTGTTGCTTTCAGAGCTTCAATCGCTGCATTCAGCAGCTCTCCATGATTCACATTGGGGCTAAAGCCACCAACAGCTACCAACTTCAAGGCCACTGTTTTATACAGTCTGTTGAAGAAAGGTTGCTTCTGTTTTACATCTTCATTGGTTAACTTCCGACAAGAGAATTTGACACAACTCTCACTGGCCTGTGAGGTACTTTTAGAAGGCAACTGTGAAGTGCTACTCTGAGAGCTACTCTTAGAAGCTAGCTGAGACATGCTTGCTAAGGAAGCACTTTTGGAAGCTACAGAACCACTGCTCTGGGAGCTGCTTTTGGAAGCTAACAGTGATGCAGCTACCTGAGACGTGCTTTTGGAAGTCAGTAGGGAAGAATTGGTTGAACTGCTCTTGGGAGTTAGTAAAGAGGTGCCTGATGCAGAACTGTTTTTAGGAACTGAGGATGACACATTCGCCTCTGAACTAGTTTTGGATGTTAACCCACTTGAAGCTGTCTCTGGACTAGACTTAGAAGACAGTAATGGCAACTCTACTTCTGAACTTCCAGAGGAACCCAACAAGGGCACCTCAATCTCTGAGCTGCTCTGAGAAGCTAAGACTGAGGAACCTTCCAAAACACTCTTTTTAGGCGATCCACTCTGCTGTCTGGAATCAGTGGATTGGGTCACATGACTATTCATACTGGATTTCAACAACGAAGAAACAAACGACGCTGAGCCATGTTTATCTGGAGCTTCTGGGTCAGAAGCTTTTCCAGCCCCTGCTGTTGTGACCTGAGAGGAATTGCTGCTGCTTTGGCTGCACACAGATCTATCTCCTTCACTGGTGGAGCCACTCTGATTAGAGACACCGGAGCTGCTCCTAGCTGAGGCCCCACTACTCTCTGACTTGGTGGATGACCCAGTGGATGCTGACCTGCTTTCCTGCTGAGCCGAGGAACGATCTGTTTTGGCAGATTTCTTTCCATGATCTCGCTCAACTGAAGAATTGTTTTTTCCTTCTATGACTCGTTTTTTGGATGGCTCTTCTATCCCTTCTTGGCAACCAGTTCGTCTCGTGTGGTATGGATGGGAGCATCTGTCACTTTGATGCCTTCAGCCATACTAAGAATTTTATCCATAACCTTTTGAGGGTACCGGCACCCTAGGAAGACGTGGTTGGCCCAGGCCATGGAGAAGGAGACCAGCTGCTGGAGTTGCCGGTGGCGGCTCCCACTCTCCGCGTCGGCTGCAGCTTTCCCGGGCGTGGCGAGGACCAGGTCCCCGGCATTGTGGAGCAGGAACTCGCGGCGGTGGCGCCAGTGTTTGTCCGTCTCTCCCACGCAGCGCAGCGTCTCCACCCAGGCGGCCACTCGCGGGTTCTGGCTCAGGTACTCCGACACCTCCTGCGCCATGTTGGGCCTGCCTGCGGGGCGAGGCGAGCGCCGAGGGCGAGCGCACGGAGCCAAGGGTGGCCGAGTGGCGGGGAGGGGGGCGGCCCTGTCAGCGCGGCCTGCACCGGCGGCTCGCCCGGAGAAAGCTTACAGTCACACTGTTTAGAGCCTGAAAGGGAGGACTCAGCTCCAGGACTGAAAAAACTGGTAGAAATTCCTTGCAAGGAATTGGGTGGCTGCAGACATGACTCAGTGGCTAAGAGCGCTGGCTGCTCTTACAGGGGATCCAGGTCTGTTCTTAGTACCTACATGGCAGCTCATAACTCCAATTCTACGGGATCTAGCGCCCTCTTCTGGCCTCTCTGGACACCAGGTACACATGTGGTGCAGTTCCATGCATGCAGGAAAACATAAAATAAAATAAACCAGATCCACTGAGGCTGTAAACCATGTAGGAACCAGGACCTTGTGGTCTCCACAGAGCTTTGTAAAATGGTTGCAAGTAACAGGCACGCAGGCCATTCTTCCACTAATGAGAGATGATTATATATATATAATTTGTTTTGATTGTTTTTTTTTATTCAGTGCTCTGCAGCTAACATTCTTCTTACAATAAATCCTTGATTTTTATTGGTCATTTTGATTCATTTTTATACTGTGTAAGTGAAAAATCTCTCAATCACTACCTTTGTAGGTTATGAACCACAATCTGTAATCACATGTTTTCCTGAATCAACGAGTCTCCTTTTAAACTGTTAATAAACATGTCTGGCTTTAGTCAGTTATTTCCAGATGGTGAGAAACTCAGATCTGATAATCTCTCATCCAGCCTACCAAGTGGAACAAAATGCCACAGCTTTGGCAGTCATTGTGTCATTAATATGATGATGAGAAGAATAACAAGTTCCCTTGTGTTGCTGCTGTTCCTCCCACCCCAGGAAAACCATCAAATTGTTAACCAATCAAAATGTAAATGGATCACACTCAGTGTTAGTATCTGCTCCCCCACACACACACTCACACACTGTTCTGAGACAGGGTTTTTCTGTGAGGCCCTAGCTGTCCTGAAACTTACTCTGTAGACCAGGTTGGCCTCGAGCTCACAGACATCTAACTGCCTCTGCCTCCGAGTGCTGGGATTAAAAGCATGCACCACCACCATCTGGCTTTTTTATTTCCATTTTAATCAATTTGTTCATTTATCTAGGAGTGTTAAAACATAAGCTTTCTATGAAGTAATCATTTACATGTGTGTCTGATGTGTGTCTGTGTGTTGTAGCATTTTAATTGAATGTAATTCACATAAAATACCGCTTACGTATACAGTTCAATGGTTTTGGCCGTATGTAGTTTGTTTAGGGCGGTCATTACCATCTGTCTCTGTGGTTTGTCTATTCTGGACATTTTTACGTTGATGAAGTCACATAGTCAGGGTTTATACACTCGCCTTCTCTCTTTTTATTTAAGGCTTTCAGAGCTGAGCCAGGCTGAAGTGTGCGCCCATCGTTGCTTTAGAGCTTCTTATGGCCGGATAGCATTCCCCTGTGGAGATACGCCTTACTTTGTTTAGAAGTTGAGGGACACTCACATTGCTTTCCTGCTCAGCTATTATTACTGCTACTGTTGTGACATTCCCCGTGGGGTTCTGTGTGGATGTCTCTTGTTTTCTTGGGAATACATCTTACACACCTAGGAGTGGACCCGCTGGCTTATATGGTAACTGATGGACTTTTTTTTTTGATATATTTTATTTATTTATTTATTTTTAATTTTATTTTCCAGTTTAAATTTAGATAAGAATCAAGGTTGCTTCACAAGTCAGTTCCAGGTCCCTCTCCCATTCCCTCCCTTCCTCCCGTGCCCTCCCCTCCCCCCCCCCCCTGTTATCCTCTCATTTCTCCAGGGAGGGTGAGGCCCTCCATGGGGGTGTCCATAGTGTGTCATTTCATCAGTTGCTGGGTCTTGTGGTAGGTTTATTCCCATTTTTCTGAGGAATCTCCACACTGATTTCCAAAGTGGCTGAACCAGTTGGCACTCCCACCAGCAATGGAGGAGTGTCCCCCTTTCACCACATCCTCTCCAGCATAAATTGTCATTGGTGTTGTTGATTTTAGCCATTCTGACAGGGGTGAGATGGTATCTGAGAGTTGTTTTGATTTGCATTTCCCGGATGGCTAAGGATGTTGAGCACTTTCTCAAGTGCCTCTCAGCCATTTTAGACTCCTCTATTGAAAACTCTCTATTTAGTTCTGCAGCCCACTTTTTAATAGGGTCCTTTGGTTTTTGGAGACTTGCTTCTTGAGTTCTTTGTAAATTTTGGAGATCAACCCTCTGTCAGATGTGGGATTAGTGAATATTTTTTCCCATTCTGTGGGCTGCCTTTTTGTCTTGCTGACTGTGTCCTTTGCCTTACAGAAGCTTCTCAGTTTCAGTAGGTCCCAGTTATTAATTGTTGATCTTACTGCCTGTGCTACTGGTGTTATGTTCAGGAAGCTGTCTCCTGTACCAATTCGTTCAAGGGTACCACCCACTTTCTCTTCTAAGAGGTTCAGTGTGGCTGGATTTATGTTGAGGTCTTTGATCCATTTGGACTTAAGTTTTGTGCATGGCGATAGACATGGATCGATCTGCATTCTTCTACATGCCAGTCTCCAATTATGCCAGCACCATTTGTTGAAGATGCTTTCTTTATTCCATTGTATATTTTTAGCTTCTTTGTCAAAGATCAGATGTTCGTACGTGTGTGGGTTAATACCCGGGTTTTCAATTCGATTCCATTGGTCTACCTGTCTATTTTTGTGCCAATACCAAGCTGTTTTCAGGACTATAGCTCTATAATAGAGCTTGAGGTCAGGGATGGTGATGCCTCCGGACGTTGCCTTGTTGAACAGGGTTGTTTTGGCTATCCTGGGTCTTTTGTTTTTCCATACAAAATTGAGTATTGTTCTTTCAAGGTCTGTGAAGAACTGTGCTGGGATTTTAATGGGGATTGCATTGAATCTGTAGATTGCTTTTGGCAGGATTGCCATTTTTACTACATTGATCCTACCTATCCAAGAGCATGGGAGATCTTTCCATTTTCTGAGGGCTTCTTTAATTTCTTTCTTTAAAGATTCAAAGTTCTTACGATACAGGTCTTTCACTTGTTTGGTTAGCGTTACCCCAAGGTATTTTATGTTGTTTGTGGCAATTGTAAAGGGTGATGTTTCTCTGATTTCTCTTTCAGCCCTTTTATCATCTGTATATAGTAGGGCTACTGATTTTCTTGAGTTGATCTTGTAGCCTGCCACTTTGCTGAAGGTGTTAATCAGCTGTAAGAGTTCCCTGGTAGAGTTCTTTGGGTCATTGATGTAAACTATCATATCGTCTGCAAACAGTGAAAGTTTGACCTCTTCCTTCCCAATTTGTATCCCCTTGATCCCCCTTTGTTGTCGTATGGCAATAGCTAGGACTTCAAGTACCATGTTGAAAAGGTATGGAGAGAGTGGACAGCCTTGTTTTGTTCCTGATTTTAGAGGAATTGCATTGAGTTTCTGTCCATTTAGTTTGATGTTGGCTGTTGGTTTACTGTATATAGCTTTTATTATGTTTAAGTATGTCCCTGTTATCCCAGATCTCTCCAAGACCTTTATCATGAAGGGGTGTTGGATTTTGTCAAAGGCTTTTTCTCCATCTAGTGAGATGATCATGTGATTTTTGTTTTTCAGCTTGTTTATATGGTGGATTACGTTGATGGATTTTCGTATGTTGAACCATCCCTGCATTCCTGGGATGACACCTACTTGATCGTGGTGAATGATTGTTTTGATGTGTTCTTGGATCCGATTTGCCAGTATTTTATTGAGTATTTTTGCATCAATGTTCATGAGGGATATTGGTCTGAAGTTCTCTTTCTTAGTTGTATCTTTGTGTGGCTTGGGGATCAAGGTTATTGAAGCCTCATAGAAAGAGTTTGGCAAAGACCCTTCTGCTTCTATTGTGTGGAACACTTTGAGAAGAATTGGTATAAGCTGTTCTTTGAATTTGTGGTAGAATTCTGCACTGAGGCCATCTGGACCTGGGCTTTTTTTGGTTGGGAGACTTTTGATGACAGCTTCTATTTCCATAGGGGTTATAGGTCTATTTAAATTGCTTATCTGTTCTTGATTTAGTTTTGGCAATTGATAGCTGTCCAGGAAGTCATCCATTTCCTTTAAATTTTCGAATTTTGTGGAGTACAGGTTTTCAAAGTATGACCTAATGATTCTCTGGATTTCCTCAGAGTCTGTTGTTATGTCCCCCTTTTCATTTCTAATTTTGTTAATTTGCGTGTTCACTCTCTGCTGTTTGGTAAGTTTGGACAAAGGTTTGTCTATCTTGTTGATTTTCTCAAAGAACCAACTCTTCGTTGCGTTGATTCTTTGTATTGTTTTCCTGGTTTCTACTTTATTGATTTCAGCCCTCAATTTGATTATTTCCTGGCGTCTACTCCTCCTGGGGGAGTGTGCTTCTTTGTGTTCTAGAGCTTTCAGCTGTGATGTTAATTCTCTGGTATAACTGTTCTCCTGTTTCTTCATGTGAGCATTTAGCGCTATGAACTTCCCCCGTAGCACTGCTTTCAAAGTGTCCCATAGGTTTGGGTATGTTGTGTCTTCATTAAGAACCGGCAGTGTCCCCAGAGACTGCACCTCTCTGCACCCCTACCCGCGGTGTGGAAGGGCTCCAGTTTTCCATACCCTTACACGTTTTCTAACATGAGTTTGTTACTGTTGTGGTTTTAATATGACCAACCCAATGAGAATAAAAAAGCATCTTGTGGTTTTGATTTATTTATAACTGATCATCTCTTTTCATATACCTGTTGGTCATTTTACGTCTTATATGGAGAAATGCCAGTTCAAAATCTTTGCTTGATTTAAAGTGGGTTGTCTTCTTTTAAAAAAGCAAACAAATTTTATTGTGTAGAAAGACGTGTGTGTGTGTGTGTGTGTGTGTGTGTGTGTGTGTATTCTTTAAATCCCCAACGAACAGAGCTATTCTCTCGCTTTCTCATCTTCGATGCCTCTGGTATAAAGGGCATTATTATACCTTAGTAAAACTCCAC